AATTCAGGGAATAATGTTTGTGAAATCATTTGGGAAAATGCTGAGCTCTTTGAACACATTGTTGTTGGTAATTTTATTGCCATGGAAGAGAGAAAGCACCTTCCACTGGAAGTGGACATCTAGACCCTTGGTCTCAGTGACTACTTGACTTTCCAGCTGTAACACCATGCGAATGGCCGGGAACCTCTGCAGGTGTATCAATTTCTTGAAAATCAAACAGTGCTCCTCCTTCCCCCAGGGAATGAAGAGGGAGTTGTCATAGCTCAAGTTTAAAGATCCAATGGGGTGACCCCCCTTGCCACAATGTATCCCTCCATTCACTAATACCTGTGCAAGGGAGGGGAGGGTGAAACCAGGATGAGGGAGAGGTTGGCCTCCTCCAGGAGTTCACAGGGCTGGAGCTGGGCCTCCAGGAGGTCACAGGGCCTGCCTGTTCTGGAGGGTGCTCTCCTCCTCTAGGGCCCTGCTGGGAAGCATCCTGGGGGGCCTGAAGTGAAACTGGTCCCCAGAATTGAGTGCAGTTTCTAACACATCAGTCTTTTGTGGAAAAGAGGAATTACACGTTTCCAAATAGCAAAACTTATTAGTCAGCTATCCCCATTTCAGATAAGAGGTTAGGGGAGGGAAAGAGAAAATAATATTCAAAATAATTCAATTCAAAATAATATAACTCAGTCTGGGGAGATGTCCCTTTCTGGAAAGGAAGCTCAATCTGCGTGGAGTGAGAGGAAACTAGACAGGGTGTGACATAGGAGCCCCGGCTTTGAGCACGGGACATGGGGAATTTGGACCGAGGGGGAGTGTGGTTCTGAAGGAAGGTCCGGAGGGGGTTATCGCGGGTTCAGGCCCGCGTGTCCCCGGTTCCCCAGCAGGCAGGTGAGGGCTGCTTATGTAATCGCGGCGCCTCGCGGGCGACCGGGGAAACTGGAAGGGGGAGCCGGGCCGGGGCTGACTGCGAGCTCCTGGAATCCGCGCTAGGGCGTTGGCTCAGCCTCGCGGGACACCGGGGCCCGCCCTCCCGCTGCGGAGCCCGCGCGGGCGCGGGGCGACTCCCCAAGCCTCCTGAGCCCCGCCATCCCCGCGCTGGAGCCCCGCGGCCATCAAGCAGCGCCGCGGGGAGCCCACCGCGTCCGCCCGCCCCAGCCCTGCGGCCGGCTGGGAGGCCCAGAGGGAGGACCGGTCACAGCCCTGGAGCAAATCCCGGGTCTGGCCTCAGGGGGCATCTTCACTTCCCGTTGACGCTGGATGTCCAAATCCATCACCCCTTTACATTTTCGGGGTCACCCTGGAAACAGGGGCGGTGTTTCTCAGAAGGCAACATGAAAAGTGATGGAGATTTTGGTTGCGGGTGGTGTGGTGAGGGTGTGAGGGGAGGATGCATCTGGTCGGGAGATTAATTTTGGTTTCTGAGTATAAGAAAGTGGAAAAGGCAAACAGATTTGCCTTTGAAAGAAAACTACATCCCCTCCCACTCCAGGCTAAACCAATCTTTGGGGAGAATCGAGGTCTTTTCAGCATTTTTGAAACACCCTCTGGATTCTGAGTCAGATTAATTCCCAGATATTGACCGTGGAAGATCACGCTTAGATGTCTTCCTAGTTTTTTTGAAGAGTCGACTTTCTTTTCTATGGGCATTTTCAAATATGCATAAAGTAGAGAAAATAATATGACCATCTTGTGTACCTATCAGTCCCTCTAATAGTGATCAAGTTTGTTTCATCAATTAAACTCCCATCACCACGACCCCCACTCCCTTGTCCCACTATTTCATGTTTTTTCTTCCTAAAGGAATTTCCAGACATCATATTTCATTGGTACAAACTTCAGGGTGCAAAAACCCCCACTTTCAAAAGTACATCACTGATGACATCTTACAAATGCACAATTCCTTAAATAGTGTTCAAATGTCTCATACTTTAATATTGAAACACAATTATTTTGTTCAAATCAGAATGCAAACAAATCCACTATTGCATTTAGTTGTCTTATCCTTTAAGTTTCTTTTAATCTGTAGATTCCCTTTCTTCTTTTTTCCCCTGGCAATTTAGTTGATGAAGGAAATGTGTCCTTTGTCCTGAGGATTTCCCCAAACTTGGATTTGCTGATGGCATTTCTGTGGCATTGTTAAGGTGATTCTCATAGATCCAGAATCCTGATGAGTTTCAGGTTCATTATTTTTGGTAAGTTTCCATCAGGTGGTTACCTCCTGTTGTATTACACTGGAAGGCAGGTAATGTTGGATTGTCTCTTTTTGTTAGGATTCATCAGTGAGTTCAGGTGTTGTCAGCCTGATTCATTATTATGCAATTCCCTGACAGCTTTTTACATAATGTTTCTAGCTGCTGTTGATGAGTATTGCTTAGATTCATTATTTCATTAGGTGTTATAAAAGTGATGGTTTTTCATCCTTTATTTATTAGCTGGAGTTTGTAATAGGGAACCCAAACTTTAACCATTTGGTTATCCTAGATATATTTGTACAAGAATGGTAGCATAAATACTGAGTCCTTCTCTTTATTTACTAGGGTTCAGAAATTTGGGTGGGTTCCTAGCATCCTCCAGAAGTGACTAATAGTTTACTTTTTAGTTATCATAATGAACTGATGGAATTTTTAAAAATACATTTGATGTGTTTCATTCTACTGCAGTTATTATCCTTATTGACACTAAGTGTTCCACGTTTGATCCTTCAAGTTGGCTCCTGAGTAATTTTTTACATAATCCCAGTAAATTTTCTTACACTCTGGTGTCGCAAGATGTTCCAGAATATATTTTTTCCCAGATCTAGAATTAGCCAGTAGTTCTCCAAGGAGCCATTTTATTTTCAGTGGGAAATATTATTTAGAGTGTAAGCAACACTCGCTTAGTTTACCCAGTTTGGCCATTACTGTTAGGTCTTCTTTGTGAACAGAGCTAAAAATTACATTTCACTATTTTTAGGAGGAAATGCATCTGAATCTATACTGATTTTCCAATTCAAATTTTGGACTTGGTTACTAATAAGGAACACTATGTTTTTATTTCTATTCTTTTTATGTCATCTCCACAAGAGAAAACCTAATCTTTTCTTTAGGTTGAAAATCTGTTCCTAGTAAAATTAATGTAATCACATATGTTTGCTTTATCCTACTATGTGTGGCTGTATATATGCATACATATAACATAGTATATGCAGAATGAAAACAATATTATTAAGATTATAATTGAAAATTTTCACGTTTAATTGCAATTATCTTTTGTTATTAGAATGTCAAAATACTGGGCCTCCCCTGGTGGCGCAGTGGTTGAGCGCTGGGCTACAAAGCTGCCCACAGCCTCAGCAGCTCTGGTTCAATCCCTGGCCACCAGCGAGGGTCCCACATGGAGCGCAGACCTCTCCTGCCACGCCCACTGCTCCCCTCAGCAGTGTATTTAGTCAGTCTGCCTGTTCCATTCCCTGCTCTGGCTCTGGTGAATTCTCTCACCCTCCTGCGCTTCTGAACTGTACCCAGTGCTTATATAAATAAATAAATAAAAATCTTAAAAAAAAAAATTCACCTGTACCATTGAACAATTTTGTTCTTAAAAAAAAAAAAGTCAAAATACTGTAGTTGTTGAAAGTGATTCTGGGTATTTAAGCTACCAACCACATACAGATTCATTTTGTCTTGTTTTAATTTTGTTTTCTTTTTTTTTAATTTTTTACATCATTGTTCATTTTTAAACAATATTTGCTTCCCCCCACCCCCTCAGGTGTAGTACCCATATAATTTCCTTCCCCAATGCACCCATGCACCATCACCTCAGTCCCCTGTGCTCCTCCCTCACCCCCTTGTTTTAATTTTGTTTTAGAATGATGTGAAACATTTACGTGGTTCCAAATTTTCAAATCAAGGTATATTCAGAAAAGACTAATTTCCATCCCTTTCACTCAGTTGCTTCCCATCTCCAGCGGATGACTGTACTGATAAGTTTTGATTCATCCTCTCTTTAAAAATATAAACAAACAAATGTATATATTTACATTCCCCTTAGGTAAAATGGCTCATACTATGTGCACAATCCCCCATCTTGATTTTTTCATTTAATACATTCCAGAGGTCATCTTATAATACATGATTTTACTTATTTGCAAAATGAAAAGAAGGTGCAGAGGCAGCTTTAGCTGAGTCTTCTGTAGAAATGATATCCAGGGTCATATTTTTCAAGTCCCCAGGAAGGTAGAGGTACAAATGAGCCACGGTGGCCTTCAGGGTCACGGGGGCTTCAGAAAATGAGATGGAGGAGAAGGGGCTTTCTGGGATTGTTGTCCAGTCCCTGTATCTGCATCTCAACTAGGATGCAGCGGGATGCTTTCTCATAGCATGGTTTTCCACTATTGCAGGTTAAATTACAATTGAGATCTTCCCAGTCTTGTCCTGTTACAAGCAGTGCTGCGTGATAGAGATTATGCTAAGCAAGATAAGCCAGAGGAAAAAGAAAATATCTGATGGTCTCACTTGTAGGGGAAATATAGGGAAACATAACAAAAATAAGGAAAAAAGAAAAACCTTGCCAGTTGACCCTAGATCTGAGGCTTACTGCAGGGGAGTGTGGTGAGGGCTCAAAAAGGGGAGAGAAGAGCCCAAGGGACTATGGTGATGGTCACGGGTGCCCTGTTGGTGGGAGAATTATGAGAACTACACCGAAGGGGAGAAATCAATACAGACGATATAAGAAAATAAAATAAAACACAATGATTCTTTAAAAAATCAAAAACCAACAAACAGTGCTACAGTGACTAGCCTTGTGTAGAATCTTCTCGTGTTCTCCAGGCTCTTTTCGACTTAGGCATATTGAGGGGAGGACTGAGAGAAGGAGGAAATTTAAAGCCAGGCCAGAGATGGGCCCGGCCAGAAAGCACAAGTGTGGCCTTCCCACATGATCCTGGAAGCCTAGCTGCACCCCTCCACCTGCTGGCAGCGCATCCCAAAGCCAGGAGTTAACGCGGAGGACAAGGAGGGCAAGGCAAAGGAACAGCTTCAGGGGTTCAGGGTGATCCGTGTGCCTGGAAACAGAAGCCGATAAAAGGGGAAGACCTGTCCCGGGAAGGAGGTGCAGAAGGTGTAGATGTGCGTGTTCGTGACGGCGTCGTAGAAGACGACCTCCCCGCACTCAAAATCCACGCAGATGCCCACTTTCCTCGGACAGGCGGGGAGGTCCTCCCGGGCGCCAGCCTCCAGGAGAGCCTGGCACTCGGAGCCTGTTATTCTAAGCACCCAAAAGCCGGTCAAGGGGTCTATTACCAGAAAACCCCTCCTGGCAGCTTGTCCCAAGGCCACGCCCACCATGCAGGCCCCGCCCCCGGGCCCATCCAGCTGTGTCTCCCAGGTGTGGCGGCCTCTGGAGAGCCCTGGAAAGCCCAGCACGCAGCGGAATGGGTAGAAGCATTCAGGGTCTGTGGGCTCATCTGAGCTCTCCTGTTGGATGAAATCCAGCGTCGCTGTCTTCAGATCCGGAGAAATGATGAGTTCTGGGTGGGCTGTGACTTCATCAAAGGTCATGGGAACTGCGGGAATATGAGGAGAAAGAGGCTGCTTGGGCCTAGTTGCCCAGTCCCCTCCAGCTAGCTCCTCTGGGTGCAGTTGGAGGGGAGCTTTCTCCTCCTGGTCAACTACACTCTCCTTCCCCAGAGTAGTCCCAGCCCCCACTGCTTGAAGTTATTCGGTATATTTCACCTAGTGCTGCTCTATGGGAGGAGAGAGGAGTGTCCTCTGGGGGTGGAGGGGCAGACAGGGGGCATCATTTCAATTCCCAAAGCTGAATTTATCTCTTTCCCCTTCCGTTCCTGTGGTTCCCGTTTCTCCCATCTAAAACAAGACTTGGAGCTAGCAGAAGGGATGTTGAGACTCAGACTTCCTGAGCTCTGGTCATTTTCAATGTGGATCCCTGAAAGACAGGGAAGAGTGGAAGGTTGGAATACTGAAGGAGGAATAGTCGATTTGGAACACCCCCCCACACACACACCTGTTTTTTAATTTGCATTTGGATGTCGAGTTTTTTCAAGACTAGACTGAGGCCCCCTGTCCACCCTCTCCCATGGGCTTTAGCAGCCCTAGTTCCAGGTTCCCCTAAGGACTCAGGAAAGGGAACCTAATTTTATCTTCTGATTTGTTATCTAATCATACTCTCTTTTTTTAAGATTTGTTTATTTATGTCTACAAGAACAGGGGTGTAGGCCAGAGGTGAGGAGGAGGGGGTGTGTGAGAGGATTCAGCAGAGACAGAGTGGGGAGCAGAACAGGCAGACTGACTGAAATACACTGCTGAGGGGAGCAGCGGGCAGACAGGAGAGGTCTGCTGCGCCATGTGGGTCAAACCTCCCTGGCCCGGAATCGAACTCGTGCTGCAGTGGCTGAGGACAGCCTCACAGTGCTGTGTCTCAACCCCTTGCACCACCAGGGAGGCCCTAAACTCTCTTACTGCAATGTTAATTTTCTCTTGCTGGATAGGCGGGCTTGGAAGGGATGGCCAGGGAGGATACAGGAACGAGGGGGAAAGGAGAGGGCGGTCAGGGTCATGGGAGCGGGTTAGGTGAACTGTGATTCACGCTAGGATTTACCCTCCTCTGGGCCCAGCTCTGTCTGCAGTCTGAGCCTGAGCTGCCAGAGTCAATGTTGGGGGGATGGGGACTTGTCCAGGGGAGGCAGCGATAGGAACTTCCTTTATCCACCAGGGGGCACCGCAGCCCAAGCAGGAGGAGGAGCCGGGCACAGGCGGGTGCGCGGGGCGTCCCAAGCCACCTTCTCCTCATTTTGCTCAGACACCCGCATCCCCTCTCCAGCTTCACCAGCGCCCGCTCCCCCGGGCTGCACTCACAGAGCGCCTCCTTGAGCTCCGCAGGGCTCCACGCGGTCCGCGTCGCCACTGCTGTTGGGGTTAGGGGAACCAGGGAGGCTCTGCTCCGGGGATGGACTGGCGGCGCCTGTGTCTGCAATCTGGGGCTGTGTGGAGTTGAAAGGTGGCGGGCCGGTACAGGTGGCCTAGGTGTTTCGCTGCCTTTGAGGGAGAAGGAAAAGAAAAGAGGTCAGTGGGCGCGAGGGGGCGATCATCCTCCATTGCCTCAAAGTGCTGCTGAGCTGGGACGCAGCAGGAGGGATGAAGGTTAGGCTGCAGAAAGCACCCCTGAACCAGTTAGTGGTGTTACTGGGGCGGAGGTATAATTTGGGAAGGAGTAAAGGAATTGGATGGCATGCCCCTGGGCCCACCCTTCTTGCTTGCCCACGCCTCTGGGAAGTCCACAGCCTTTCAGCTGCTTCTCCCAAATGCCTAGTCCTCTTCCTCTTGATTCAGCTTCCTACATTCCTCTTCTTGCTCCATCCCTGTTCCTCTTTATCTCAGGCTGGAACTGAGGGAAGTCATTCAGTCCTGCCTAGCTCTGCTCAGGGAGATGATATGTGATAGGAAGTGAAGCCTCCTCCCTTCCCTGGCGGCCTCAGCTCCAGTGTTCCTGTCTGTGTTTTGGGTGGAGAGAGCATTTTGCTTACCTGGAGAATCCGAGGTCCCCTCGCTGGAACATGACACAGGAACCCCCAAAGACTGATTATCAGGACCCTGAACTGGAGAGGGTGACTCAGGCTCTGAGGCTTGGTTTGTTTTAGGAGTATTAGTCTCTGACTGGCCATCTATGTCTTAGAGAGAGAAAACCAATTTTGGTACTGATAACCAGAAGCTGCAAATTAAAAACAAAGCCGAAACACTGACACTAAGAACAACAGACAAGGTGCTAGGGAGCACCCCTTCCCCCTATGGGGAAGAGTGGACACCTTTAGGATTGTTTCAGTGATAGCTGGAGAGGGTTGGGGAAAGTTCTGGCCTTTCTGGGACTCGGGAAGCGAAACATTCAACAGGGAACAAGGCAGGGAGAACAGTGGAGACTTCTTTGCAGACACCAATAGCTCCTCTCCCAGAGAAATGCTCAATCCTAAACCGCACTCTCTGGCTTTGGGATGCATTATGTTCTTTCTGACTTTGGTGGGTGAGTTTTCATGCTGTCTCTTCTCTTAATAGTCACATAATCTGGGTTGATTTACCTCACCTCCCTGGAGATACAGGGACGTGTGTGTGTATCTCTGTATAAACACCTTCCTTGAAGGATAACTTTGGGGGCTACAAATATCAGGTGTGAGGTATTTAGCAAATAGTGGATCTTTAAGAAATGGTATTTCCAGTGTAACCTCTCAGGTGGCAGAGCCTGGCCTGATAACTTTGGCTTAGGCTGCTGTTAGTGGGTCTCTGTCCCCAGTGGTCCTGACCTCACATCACAGGGGTTTGCCCACATGGCAGCTAATACTGCAGAGACTGAGCAACCTCTGCCTCTTCCCATCCTACCCCTTTCTCCCTTACTCTGAGGAATAAAGAAATACATTTATACTTTTCTATGACTTTTGAATACTTCAAAATTTTGCCAAAAGTCACTGTAACTATGAGCTAACTGACTTCAAATACAAAAAAATACCCTTACCCCTGTTCTTCTCAATTGAATGAAGACTAGGCATTCACCCACATCTAACTTTCATATAACTACAGATTGTCCCCCTTTGCTTTTCTCACTTTTCCCAAATGGCAGGAGCAAGCCCCAGTCCCCACTTACATTTCGTTATGTCCTTGTCACTCATGCCTTTCAAAAATTTGCTTCTATCTTTCTCCCCTTCATTCTTGAGATGGTCTGTGGGGAGAGAAAGGGATGAATGGAGAAAATCCAGAGTGGTTGAGCAAGAAATCCAGAATTTCATAGCAAGGCACTGATTTGCAGTAACAGAGAAATGGGAACTGGATTTGTCTCATATTCTTAGTGGACAAGAATGTATAAAACACTGAGAGGGCCTCCCCAGTGGCACAGCAGTTGAACACTGGGCTGTGAAGCTGCCTGCAGCCTCTGCAACGCCAGTTAGATCCCAGGCCGCTGGTGAGGATACCACATGGCGCGCTGACCTCTCCTGCCGCCTGCTGCTCCCCTCAGCAGTGTATTTCATCAGTCTGTCTGTTCTGTTCCCTGCTCTGGCTCTGGTGAATTCTCTCACCCTCCCATGCTTCTGACTGTGCCCAGTGCTTATACAAATAAATAAATAAATAAATAAATAAATAAATAAATAAATAAATCTAAAAAAAAAAAAAACACACTGAGATTTCCTCCTTCTGTTTCCCTAAACTGGTTATCTAGCCAGCATTGCCCAGGCAAAATATAATCTCAGCCACAAATACCATAAAATTTTTTAGTAGTAGGTACCGCTCCAAAGGGTTCGAAAACACTAATTCAAAAGGAAACCTGAACTCCTATGTTTACAGCAGCATTCTTTACAATAGCCAAGATATGGAAACAACCTACATGCCCAGGACATAAATGGGTCAAGAAGATGTTTTACATATACACGGCGGAATACTACTTAGCAGTCTAAAGGATACCATGCCCTTTGTGGCATCGTGGATGGACCCAGAAGGGATTGTTCTACATGAAGTGATCCAGGAGGAGAAAGATAAATACCAGATGGTTTCACATACATGTGGAATCTAGAGGAACTAAACAAAGGATCAGAAAAATTCACAGTGTAAAACTGGCTCTTGAAAGCAGAGCGCAGATCTGAGACAGGAGGGGAGAGGTTAGAGATGGAGGGGAGAAGAACACCATGATTGCGGTGGAAGACTGTGGGCACTTTGGTGGCAGGAAAACTATGGTGATCTCTCCTGAGAGGAGAAATCCTATATAGTGAAAAAGTAAACTAGAATGCTTAAAAAATGAAATAGAAATTTCTAGTAGTCACCTTAAGAACTAGTGAATTTAATATTAATTATAGATTGCATTTCACTCATCTTTTTAAAATAGCAATTTGGAGCTTTTCTTTTTAAAGATTTATTTATTTATGCAAGAGCCGGGGTACAGGCCAGAGGTGTGGGAGGGTGAGAAGATTCACCAGAGACAGAGCCAGGAGCAGAACAGGTGGATCTACTGAAATACACTGCTGTGGGGAGCAGTGGACAAGACAGGAGAGGTCTGCCTCACCATGTGGGTATTTCCCTGACTGGCTGGGAATTGAACCCATACTGCAGAGGCTGCAGACCACTTCACAGTGCTGTGCTCAACCCCCTGAGCCACCCGGGAGGCCCTTCACTCATTATTTTTTTTGAAGATTTATGTATTTATACAAGAGCTGGGGTACAGGCCAGAGGTGTGGGAGGGTGAGAGACTCCACCAGACAGAGCCGGGAGCAGAAAAGGTGGATCTACTGAATTACACTGCTGAGGGAAGCAGCCGGCGAGACAGGAGAGGTCTGCTGTGCCATGTGGGTATCTCCCTGGCCGGCAAGGACTCGAACCTGCACTGCAGAGGCTGCGGACAGCTTCACAGAGTCACGCTCAAACTGCTGCACCACCGGGGAGGCCCTCATTCATTATTTTAAAAATGTTTGTGGGAGGAATGAGTAGCGAGGGGTCAACAAGATAGAATGGATGGTAAGTAGAACTTTGGTGTTGGGAATGGCGTGGTATCATACATTGAAGGGGGTGAAGGTGTACTCCTAAAACATATAGTGCTGTAAACCAATCTTACCTAAATAAAAACATAGCATTTCAACATGTAAGACATTCTTATGTTTTACATTCCATTTTCATGTAACTCTTAGAAATTCAATACATGTTCATTGACAGCACGCTTGGATTTGAACGAGCCATGTTCCAAGTGCCCAGCAGCACATGTGCTAGCGGCCACAAAGTCAGGTGCTAGGATTTAGTTTCTCCCTAGCCACAACAGAGGAGAAAGCACTGAGGGACAAAATGTGCTTTGGGTCCTCACTCTTTGGCTTCATAGGAAAGTCTGCTGTGGGGCCTCCCCTGGTGGCCCAGTGGGTTGAGCGCTCAGCTGAGAAGCTGCCTGCAGCCCCTAGAGTGCTGGTTCTTCGCTCCCTGGCCAGATGGCGAAGGTCCCACATGGCACGCAGACCTATCCTGCCGCCCGCTGCTCCCCTCAGCAGTGTATTTGGTCAGTCAGTGTACCTGTTCTGTTCCCCGCTCTGGCTCTGGTGAATTCTCTCACCCTCCCATGCTTCTGACTGTACCCAGTGCTTGTATTAACAGATCTTTAAAAAAAAAAAAAGTTTAACAAAAACAAAGAAAAAGAAAGTCTGCTGTGGTGCCCAGCTCCCCGCAGCCAGGTATGGTAAGTGAGAGAGAAGGTCTCATTCTCCTAAGGCCTGGATCACAAGTGTACCCTCCCTCCACTTAAATAGGGATTGAGAGGAGAAAGAGGTGGAGCTCCTGAAGTAGGAGCTTAGGCCCCCATCTCCAGGCACAGACAAGGAGGACTGTCACTTGCTGCCCCCTGCTGGGAACAGGGCAGGGGACTAGCAAATTTGTGGAGTTGAAGGATGAGTCCCACAACCTGGGACAAAGGCTTGGATTTCCTGAGGAAGTGCTGGACTGGGGGAAGTATGTGTGGGGTTTCTAGGTGGGGGCTACCTTTCGGATCCCTGCACACCCTTACAATGCCCTGCAACTCCAGGAGAGAACAGATTAGCCCTGTGGAGGATACCCAAAGCTCTATGCCACAACCCCACCCCCTTAAACTCTAGCTTCCCAACCCTGGGTAGCACACAGCAACCCTCTTCTGAGGGATCCACATGCTTACAGCCAGAGCAGAGATGCAGAGAAACATTGCCCGGGACACTGTGCCACAAGGCCCTTCAGGATCCAACCACCCCATGTCCACCCCTGGTTTCTGGACCCCCAAACAACCCACCCTTCAGACTAGGGAACTATGGAGATTGGGGCAATGGTGTGAGTGCTTTCCCCAGCAAGCCCTCCTCCCTCCTTGCTACAGACTGTAATAGAGTAAGGTGAGAACTGGAGGGGTGAATATCAAGGAGGATTCTTTGATATTCCTAGGAAGGAAACTCCTTTCAGCTGTCTTTTCTCCTGGCTTAGATAAGCACAGCCTTCACAGTTGCGGGGAGGGGTGTCCTTATAAACACAACCCTTATTCCTGTTGCAAGCCCTGACAAGTTTTTGAAAAATATCAGGCTGAACATCCTAAAGTGACTTGGGAACCATCCACTTCTGTTGGGGCTGATTTCTGTTTCCCTGCAAAACTGGAAGAGAGATTTCCCCCAGACATCATTGACATTGAATCTATTTCAATGTCAGAGCTCTAAGCTTGCATGTGAGAAGTACAAACCACTTTTGGGAGATCACACAGACCCTGCCTGGGGGCTCAGGGAAGATAGGCCTGACCTCTCTGATCCACCAGTGGAGCACCAACTTGCAGGCAGCCACTGGGCTACTCAAAGGGACCCACTGGGGCAAAAGTTCAGGCTCCCTCACCATCTCCGGGGAGATAACCTGTGGTGAAGACAGAGCAGGAAATGCCTGCCTGGAAGCCCAGAGAAACACGGGAAGGTGCTCCGCAGAGAGCCTGGCATCTGAAAGGTCCTGTGATTATGATCATATGCAGAAATTACAGGTCATATTCCATGCTGGATGGGGGAAGACCCCCAGAGAGGCAAGTTCTTTCTTACCTTTGAATTTCTTCAGGTAACTTGCCAGGTTTTTATGTCTTGATTGTGCATCACTGAGTTTTCTCTCCAGGTGAGAAGGAACAGGGGTTGGACTGAGAAAGGGAAATCCTTCACTCCTGGGAAGATATGATTGTGTGGATGATGGCAAGAGGGGATGGTGGGGAGAATTAGCCATGACAAGAGCTGGGGAGAAGGTGATGAGTCCTGGGGTGGGGAGGCAGTCAGGGGACAGCGAGCTGGGAATCTGGAGGCCAGAACTAGGGTTCTAGGATGGAGTGAGGTAGGCACAGGGAGATATGCAAATGAAGACAGGAGATAAGACAGACAGGAGGAGAGGAGAGAAAGGGGGCAGAGGAAGGGGCCAGCAGTGGTGGCCCAGGAGCCCCAAAGTTTCAAGGAAACAAGAGAATCTGTACTGAAGAAATAGGAACCTCTAGAAATAGCTCTTCTCTTTAACAACCAGTCTACTTGCTAATTTGCTCAGCGTTGGCCTTTCCTACCTGAAGCTTCAGCACCTGACTGCAAAGGTAGAATGTGTGGGCCTTTTGTGAGGGAGGAATGTTGAGTGTATTTGCATACATGTTGAACTTTGTAGGGTAATGAATCAGTAGGTAAAAGGCATTTGGACGGTCCATCATACCTGCACAGGATAATTTGATGTTCTGGAAGAGAAAGAGAAATGGAAGCCTTAGTACTTGGTTGATGCACTGGAGCCAAGGAGGAAATGCAGGTGGAGCAGGGCAGGTGCAGTGAGAACACCTTTAAACCCATTCTTTCTTCTCACCTCCCACAGCGGCTCCTCCAAAAGTGTCTGATACACCAGGAGGCAGGAAAATGGCCAGACCTCAAGAGGAACTGAGTGATGAGGACGGGAAGAGGAGTGAGATTTTGGAGATGAATTTTTTCCTTGGGCCTAAACTAGAAACAGGAGAGGTAGGAAAGCAGAGGGGCTGGAATGACTTTCCATGATCTTGGATTTCTGAGAGTTCAAATGGATTTCTGAACTAGTGAGAGTGGGAGATGACTTCAGGAGGGACCTCAGCTTATTGGGGGCATTGCCTAGACCCATGCTGTCCAATATGGTAGCCACCAGCCACCTGCGAAATACGATGAGTGTGAGAAGGAACGAAATTTTTAATTTTATTGAATTCTCACTAATTAA